ACATTATCAAGCATTACTTGGTTTCCATTTCCTAGACGTTGTTTAATTTTCCCGTTATCACATTTTTTCCCGCTTTCAACAGTGAAACAATAATTAAAATAAATTAAAATGTTATCTGTCTACAGCTTTTGACCATGAGTCACGCCTTGGTATATATTTACACTGCTCTTATTATTATGTCTGTGACTCTACATAAGCATGAATGTGTGCGTGAAAGCTGTGTCCCTGACACGAGCAACAATTATGTCTGGGTGTCTGTGCTGACTAACAAAAGGTTCCTGTACGTCGTATTGGTGGGGTAGCGCGTCGGCGGCGTGGCCAGTCACTGCTTTGCCATCTGTAATGTTGCTCATCATATGCTGTTGCCGGGTATACAGTTTTTCTTCTATTTGTTTGTTTGTTTGCTATTATTGTTGTTGTACGCTGGTCAAACAACTTTTCCTACTTCGCTTGCTTCTTTTTCTTAATATTTCATTTCTTATACCCTGAATAGGGTAACACTCAGCCGGTAACATCGGGGAGCCAATAAAATATGTAGATAAATGATCAGCCTGATGAGCTGAGTCGATTTCGCTATGTCAATCGCGCACTAGTTCCTCAATTTTTGAGATATTGATCGGAAATTTTCCCTTCCTACCAAAGCCGCTGCTCATTTGTCGGCCGCACCGTTATCGGATAACTATAACATATACTTGCCATACAAATTTACCCATCACACTCAAGTTCATGTATGGAAAACTCTTTTATTTAACAAGATATCTTCACGAAATTCGGGGCAGATTATTGCATAAAGCAAGCGCTACAATCTCCGAACATATTTTTTAAATCGGACCACTATAACATGTAGCTATCATACAAACTTACCCAACAAAATCAAGTTCTTGTATGTAAAACTTTTTTATTTGACCAGATATTTTCACCAAATTTTGCATGGATTATTGTCCAAGGCAACTCTACATTCTCTGAAAAAATTCTTACAGATCGGACCACTATAGCGTATAGCTGCCATACAAACTAAGAACTGCCATAAGATATGCGCCTGTGAAGGGTATTATAGCTTCAATGCAACCGAAGTTAATGTTCTTACTTGTCATAGCCAAACTTTGCCGTCTAAATAACTTTTGGAAACTTTTTTTATTTTTGACTGAAATTAATCATTCTAGTTTTGCTGTGGCTCATTGCTGGTTGAAATAAAATTTAGCTAGCAACATTGTTGCTAAGCCGTTGGAGGCACAGCTGTGAATAAACAGCGTTATTGTTATTGTTGTTTGGTGGGCGCATATGCAGTACGTGCAAATTGCAATTTTTCGGCCGCTCCTTTTTATTTGCTCTCCGACATGCTCTCAGCGCATGCCCGCCTGGCTAGTGACTGCCATTTGCGGTTGATTGCTTTTTGACTGCCGCCGTCTGTCGACTTTTTGTAATCCTGCCGCCAGCATTGTTGTTTGTTTTTGGTTTTTTTTATTTAATTTTTTTCTTTTGTTGGTTTACTCTGCACTGCACTTCCTTATTGCGTTCACAGGCGGCACGCATGCAATTTTCTTTGGTAGTATTTTCATTACTGCTTATAACAATATATATGAATACATATATAAGTATGTACATATATATTTGTATGTTTGTATGTCTGTTTATGCGTTTATGCTCACCTTATGCGTCGACTTTCCGTTTCTACTGCGCATTTTTAACATTATATATACCACCTCCTTACTTGCCGCAGCAACTTTTAGTTTCATTTCAGTCCATTGTATTTTCTTACCCCCACCCTCCTTTTGTTTTCACACTTAACGCTAATGCAGTATGTCGGCACACACATGCGTTGTAAGTGATTGTGGGATTTCTACTTTGGTCAGACCAGTTTTTTTCCGACTCATTACAGTTTTTTTCAGCACTTTATTGCATTTTCTTGCACTTCTTCCTACAATTTACACCATCTTTCTGGTCCGTACTCAGACGCTGACTTGTACTCGCAACTCGAACTCCCAATCGCCATGGCTATTTTTAGTCGCCTATTCACTCAACAATCACTGCTCTGGAGATGCTTTTACGCTTGTGTGAAGCTTGAGAGTGTGCAGTGCAATTCAGACTGCATCCAGGGCGTTCAACACTACATGCTCTAAACATATATATATATATATATATGTATGTATGTATGAGTATATATATATATATATATGTATGTATTGTGTATATATTATGTGTTGTTTATGTGTTCTTTGTAAGGTTTAAGGTGTCGTTTGCGGCGTGTATCATTGTTACATGTTTCTTGTTAACTTCCTAACTTTTTTCCTGCAACCGTGCTAGTACTTAAATTTGTTGCATGCAGCGTTGCAATCTGGTTTTGTTCGACATTCTCTTTTGGCTTTGTTTTGTCACGCTTGCAAAGGTCAAGCCAAACAATTTCTGAAGCCATATATAAAATATTTCTCTGAATATATATGCAGCTGTGTGGATTTTATAAACTTATAGCAGTAAGGTTATGGAAAATGTTAAAATAATAACAACATGAAATTAGAGATCGAAATTATTATAATTTTTTTCTTGTACTCTAACTTATGTTACATATAAGATTTTTTACACGTTTTTCTGAAAAAATATATATATATTTCCATGTACGATCTGGCAACTCCCTTAAAATTTATATCAAAAAAATACTTAATTTTTACACTTTTTCCTGAAAAAATAAATATTTTTTCATGAACAATCTGGCAACACCCTTAAAATTTATATGAAAAAGTACTTCACTTAAACAGAATTTATTAATCCAAAATGTAAATTTTTTTTTTTTTGAAAATCAAAAATCACAACATCTCCAGTGCATCTACTTACATATATCACTGTACTCTCTTCATCAGCTATAGAAAGCGTTTCAGCAAGTAAAGACAGCGAGTAAGGATTCTTACGTATATACGCGACTTTAAAAAAAAATATCGATTGCACAAACCCTTTTCTCTCCAAGAATTTGTCTCATTTGTCGCTACCGCCGATATTGCACCAACATAGCATATAGCTGTCATACAAACTGAACGCTCAAAATGAATTTATTGTATGGAAAACTTTTTTATTGTAAAAATTATCGACACGAAGCTTGGCACAGATTATTGTCCAAGGCAACGCTGCAATCTCTGCATAAACTCTTCAGATCGGATCACTATAGCAAATAGCTAATTTATAGAAAAGATAGCATATAGCTGTTTTAAAAAAAAACTTGCAAACTATTGAGGTTATGAACTCTTAAAATACTTACTCAAATTAGTGAGCTTTTAGTTAAATAAAGAGCTTGTTGAATATGTATTGGCATTTGTCTTTTATGCGAGTAATCTATAAGCAGAGTACAACCGGATTACTGTCTATAAATTACAATTGGGAATGAATTGGTCTTCAATACATATCTTTAGTACACAATTAGGTATTAGTTAGATGTTAGTTAGATTATTGGAATATTTTCTCTTGAATGTTACCCGGTTAAAGTTATTACCCTATGGCTCGATTTTTTAGGTATATACACTTTTTTTAGGCTTTTGAGTACAAAAAAGGTATAATTAATCTTTTCTTGGAACATGCTCGAAGAACAGTTCGTTCCATTAAAAAAAAAGGCAAACCGTACGAGCCAGAACAACGTTAGCACTACCCGTAGCTTTGTTTAGCAATGTTTTATGCCGCTCTACTCAACTTTTTGGCAAAGCACGCTTAGAGACACCTTGCGACTTTACACATAATCGTGTTTGCTGAAAGTTCGTTGAGCTTGATTGATTGTATTGCAATATATCTAAAGTATTTCTTAACCGACTTTGACCAGATTTTTTATACTCTGAACAGGGTATATTAATTTTGCCACGAAGTTTGTGCTTGTATGGAAAACTTTTTCATTTGACGAGATATCTTCACGAAATTTCACATGAATTATTTTCTATGGCAACAATGTATTCTCCGCAGAAGTTGTCAAATTCGATCACTATATCATATAGCTGTCATACAAATTGAACGATTATTAAGAAATTGTAAGAGCGCACTTAATGACATCAAAATAGCTACACTTTAATAGGCGTAGACTATCACACTATCCGCCACCGCAATCTTTTTGCAGAAATGACTTAGCCATGTGTTCAGTTAGCAATACAGCGGAGATTCGTGTAAATTATGTAGATTTTTAGAACGAATCCTACCATTTCTGTCAAGCAACAGGTCAAATTTTTTCAATCTCATATAAAATGTGATTTCATATAAAAAGAGAGTTCATATATCTGGCAAAAATTCACAGAATTTGCTAACAAAACCTAAAATTTTGTAAATTTATTGAATAATTTCAATTTTTTTTTTTTTTTAATTTTTCCAACTTTTTTAACATATTCCATGACACAACTCATAATCGAAAATAACTGAAAATTTATTGCGTTTTAAATTTTTAAATTCTATTCCATGAAAATAATTTAACCAAAACACATACATTTATATGTTTTTGTATGTGTTCACAAAAAATAAAAAAAAAATACCTCTGGTCCACGCATTTATTTTTCCAACCGTGCCGCTCATATTTTCCGCCTTAAATATGCCATTTCACGCCGTTTGTTTATTTTATGAATATTTTTGTGCTGTCTCCCACCAATTGTGTGTATTTTGCATAATTTCATTGGCGATTTTCGTTTATCCGAATAAATTTTTATTCCAATTTTACGCCATGCTCGACAGCGTTTTCATAATTTTACGAGTAAGTATTTTATGATTTTCCCCCTTTAGTGTCGTCTTCTTCAGCATCAACGGCATTATTGCCAACAACAACAAGATTTTCCAAGCATTTATTTGAACATATTTCATTTTCTTATTTTTATTTTTGGCTTTTTATCTTTTCCATCTATTTTTTCCTCCGTTTACTCTAACACATTTGTTTATTTTACACTACAAGGAATCCTAAAATTATTCAATATTTAATGTACTTCGTTTTTCTTTTATATATTTTCTTGAAATTTGAAAAAAAAAATTTTTTTAAATATTTTTTTTTGTTTTTTTTTTTTTAATTTTTTTCTGAAATGTTTGTTATTTCACCATTTTTACACAAATTGATTTATATTATCCGCCTTTTGACAACAACCCGCCAATGCTACTCGTTTTCATTGCCAATCGTCGCCTCACGTCTCTCTGATGAAAAACTGATAATTGAGGAATTTAGATCAAATCTTTATTACTTAATTTTCGATCCTCACTTTTGCTTTTTCAATTACATGTATGCATCCGGCACATTTGTTTATTAAAACTTTTAGCAACTTTTTACCGTTTTCATATTTATGTGTGTGTTTTTATGCTTTCATTGTACATTGTATTCGTGTAAACACTCGTGTTTCTGAAATCTAGTTAGCTTCGCTGATGGATTTTTGCGGTTGGCAGCTTTGCAAAATTGATTGGTGCTATTATTTTGACAAACAAATTTTGTAATTTTGTGGTGTGAAGGGTAGGGTAGAGCGAAAAATTTTATTTTGTTTTGTTTTTTGCTTAGCCTGTGGGTAAAATTTGTAGATTATAAAAAGAGAAAATTTTTGGAAAAAAAAAATATTTTTTTAACATCTAGTTATCTATTTTTTCACTTTAAAGTAAATTTCAAGCTAACATTTTTATTTCGTAAAAAATTTTTGATAAGTGTTCTAGAAGCTGAGGAGAGTCTCCTTTCTGGCCAATTGAAAGTTATCAACTTAAAAAAATTTTGTGTGGTCATTATTGGGGTTTTAAAAAAAATGTTAAATGACAATATGCTTTCCTTAAGCGTTAAAATAAATTTTGAGTCAAAAATCGTCAAATTCGGTAATTTTTATACAAATGTAAACAATCTAAACCCAAAAAAAAAATTTAACTCAAAATTTACTTTAAAAGTGAGCAAGCCGCCTCTAAATGTTAAAAAAAAAAATTTTCCCCCAAAACGCATTTTTTTTCGCTTCACCCTAGTGCAGTGTTTCCCTCGAATATATAAGTACATTCATATTTATATGTGTATGTGTATATAAGAGATTATCTAGTCAATTAAGAAGTAACTGCATATAAGCATGCTATAAAATAAGTTTGTTGAAAGAACGCTAAAAATCGGTTTCAAGGTTTATTCGTAGCTGGGCAACAATCAGCTAGAAAATTTTGTAATATAACTTATCGATTTTTAATATTCCAATAAAAATAAATTTCACATATTTTTGAAGAACCGACCAAACGAGTTTGAGTACTGTGTTTATATTATTTTTAAAGGCAACGAGCTTATTAAAAAGAGAGGATAGAGTTTCAAAGCATTTAAAGATTCTTACTAAGATTGGCCATCGTAGAAGGAGGAACAGAGCTTAACCAAAATCTCATCTATCAGAGCTTTTTATTACACCTAAAAACCTAACCGCAAATTCTTCCAAATATCTTTTTTTTTTCTCTGCAATTCTCACAATTTGTTGGACTTAAGCAGTTACTCAAACAGAAAAAAAAAAGTTACACGTAAGATCATAAATCTACATTAAGGCCAGAAAGTTTCCGGAAACTGTTTTTTTTTCGATATTCGATGTTTGCTTCACTCTTGTAACCCGTTTCGACTCGATTGAGGCCGTAAAAGAAAATTCGCAGAGGGAACTGAAGGCGATCGCGGACAGCACCTACAAGTCATGTTTCGACTAAATGAAAATCGAGGTGGCTTATGTGTATCGCTTCAGAAAAAGCATATTTTGAAGGCGATAAAATTAATGTTGATGAAAATGACAAATTTTTCGTTTTATTTACAGTTTCCGGAACCTTTTTGGTCTTAATGTATTATCTCCACGTCTAATTAAAATATTTAAAAATTGTTGTTGTTTAAAACTTATAGTATATATCAAATATGTTAGATGAAGTTAGACATTAGGCTTTATTCACGAGGTCCAAAATTATTGGACATACAACAAGTTCTCTGAGATGCCTCTCCTAACAATTGAATCTAAATCTTCGTGTATCAATAAATTGCCCTAAAGCGTTGTTCTAGTGTAGAATTTTGAAAGAATCCAAACATTTTCTATATATTTTAATAGCTTGGATTCTCCAAAATAGCTCCCAAAGGTATTTTGCTACATTCAAATCATATTCAATTTTAAATTCGGTCCAGAATTTTATACTTCCCAACTGCTTACCAAATCGTCGCTATAATTCGAAGCAAAAATATAGAGGTTCTAATTGATACATAACCTCAATATTTGCAGAGTTTAATTTGTACCAAACGGTAACAAAATAACAGAAATGTGCCTTTCGAATTTGTCAGCGATAGATATTAAAATTACAATAGTAAAATAAATCGTACAATTACAATTTAAAAAATTTGTTACCAATTGCTTTTTTTGAAATTTGGATCCGCTTTTAATGGCTGTATTGATTTTTTACGCCATCTGCCGAACATCATCTTCGTTGTTATTAAATTTATCGCTCTATATTAACGGTATTTGATGCATGTGATGTTTGTACATATGTATCTTTAATAATGCCTGTCAATTGATGTTGGCAACAATTAAGTAATCGTCGAAATCAATTGTCACAAAAGTGTTAAATACCAACAACAAATGCATGTGAGCTACTCACGGCTACACTGCAATGCATTCCCGTTCGCACACACACTTACTCAGATTACTTTACACACAAATATACATATGTACAAAGTGAACTCGTCTCTTTTCATTGAACTCACATAAATTTTGATTGTATTCCGGTTGAGTAATCGCTTTTGTTCAGCATTGGAATTTGCCGAAAAGTCATCAATGCCAGACGATTGATTGGCAATTCGAAAGATAGAAAAAAAACGAGAAAAAGTTAAAAAAAAAAATCTTAATGGGCTTACATTTTTGTGCATACATATGTACATATGTGGAAGAGGAAATGATAGTTGAAAGCGCCAAGTGAAATAAAAACGAAAGTATTGTAAGAGTGTGTGATGTGTCGACAAATGGATAACAGTGTTGAGAGGTGGTAAAGAAAAATCAAAGAAAAATATACAATAGAAATATATCAACAAAGTATTATATTACTATCATATTTATACACTTAAAAGCTGCAGAAATGTGAGTGTAGCCTTAATATTTTTCCAACTACATTTTAAAAGCAACCAAACATTATTTTGCTCATAACTTAGCGTAAGACGAATAAGTCACGTAAATATTGATAAATCATTATTAAGACTAATAAAATATCAGATTTCCCATATACATATGTGTGTGTGTGTAAGCTGAAAGTCAAAGTCACGCTATACCCTGTTTTCTTCTCTAAATTCGTAGTTATTATTGTCAATATCTTATTAGAAAGTTTCTGAGTTGAGAGCGTACTTGAACGGGCACCTAAAGTGAGCGATTGTGGGATTGATTTTCTGATTTTTTCGTTGATTTCAGCTGAGCTGCTTTTGAACTTCAATCAAGCTGTGTGAGGATTTAGTTTTCAAATCGCAAGCAAAAGTCAAATTAAACTATAACAAATTCAAGTCAATAGGTGTCACTTTTGCGCTACTAAAGCACGATATTTCTAAAACATTGTTTGATATTTGTTGTGCAAAATTCTCAAGATTACCCTCACTCAACTATTTGAACACTTTTTGTCGTTTCCGCCTGAAATTTGAAATTCAATAAGACAATGCAACGAAATGAGCATTATTTATGTACGCAATTATTGCCTTAAAATGAGTTCAGAGGCAGCTACTTACATTGCCGTTATTCGAAGTTGTGAGATGAAGAAGCAGTATGGTATGTGCGGAAAGACAGCGAGCAGCTGCCAAATTTCCATTCCTCATGTAAACAGAGTCTTAGCAAACTTCTTACCAACAACATAAATAAAAAACAACAGCATTCAGAGTGTTTATTTTCACCATAAAAGAGATAACTAAATTTCAGCTGAGTAAGCATTTCTAAATATTGACCAAAACTAGCAACATCAATACATATACTTAACATTTATTGCGCTAATCCAGCTACGGTTTAACGCCCATGAACCGACCAACGCGCACAACAGTCAACAACAACAAGAACAACACTGAGACAGTGAGACCCAAATTTGGACACATGCGCCAATTAAAAATTGGCTGCTAATTTTGCTGAAACGCGGCTGTGACGTTGGGGTGACCATTTTTACAATGTATGGTACTTGTGAATATGTGTATAGCTATGTAGCTAGCTTTTATGGACATGGTCGGTCCATTAGATAGATTCACATACAAGTATGTGCAAAGTTTGCTATTTTATGCGCAGAAATCAATGTTTGTGTTTGTTTCCAGGCGGCATGCTTTATTGTTGTTTGCGCTGGTCGCCAGATATGCTCGCATGCTTGAGCAAAAAACAAATTGAATAAAAAAAGAATAACGAAAGGAAAAAATACGCTAAAAATTACTTGAAAATTAACAAAGTGAATTAACTGTAGATGAATGGAATTCAATGAAATTGCGTTGGCACAGCGAAGAAGCGAAGCTAAAGCGGCGAGTGGGGCGTAGTTTAAGCGAAAAACCAAGCATAGGTAGTAGCAATAACGATTGACTGTGGAAATATCGAAAATTGTAAACATTGAAAAGTTAATTAACTTTTCACAAGTAAAAAGTATAAGAAAATGTGTTTATTTATGCAAAAAATGTAATAAAAACTGTAAGTAAGCTAATGAATAGTTCGAGAAAAACTGGTAATTAATTATTATTTGCTACTGAAAGGTTTTCAAGTCATATGTCATCTTTACTAAACACGCCAACGGTAGCTACAGTGTGCAGCAGCAAGCAAAAACACGCTTAAAATAATGTAAATTGATTTTACAATAAAAAAAAAACAAGAAAAAATTTTAACTTCGGCTGCACCTATATGCTATAATAGCTGTCAAAGTTGCATTTTTTATAGCATAAAAAATTATAAGTAGATATTTTTCTTGATTTTGATCGGTCAGTTTAAGTGGCAGCTATATGCTATAGTTGTCCGATCTGTATATATAATATAAGATTGTGGTGATGCCTTGGATAATAATTTGTGCCAAATTTCGTGACCATAGCTTGTCAAATAAAACAGTTTTTCATACAAGGGCTTGAGTTGAATAACTTTTTCAGAAATTTTTTTGCACTAAAATCCCTACTAAAAAAAAATTATTTACTCTACGTTTATATGTACATGTATAGTTTAGGTGTTAAATATTCCAGTTTTCGCGGCTATGTTGAATTTCCACGAAGTTGCTTTTAGAAGCTCTTATTTACATTTACTCTGCCTTTATCACGAAGGCTCAGTTGCGTGTTTTTGTTGCGATATCCTGTTGAAGTCTTTCGAACCAACTATAATATCGATAGAATATTAGAAGTCGTCGAGTTCGTAAGCACTGTTCTGATTGCTCAGGTTTTCTATGAGAGTGGTATTATGAAATTACCTTTCAAATGGCGACAAGTTATCAAACAGAACGGTGTATATTTGACCTAAATCAGATTATTCTAACAATGCCAAATAAAGCCTTCAATTTAATGCAGAAATAATAGATTTTCTTTTTTAGATCTTATATTCCTTTCAATAATAAACGATTGTGAAACCATAAATCGTTTTCAGGGACG